TACCACTGAGCCACAACCCCAGCCCCTGGGTTGCTTAGGGTTTGCTAAATTACTGAGGCTGGCCTTGAACTTGCAATCCTCCTGCCTCAGCCTCCCAAGCTATTGGGATTATAGGCATGTGCCACCACTCCTGATGCTATTATCATTCGTTCTACCTTACCCATAAATCTTTTTCCCCCTTTTATTTAAATTAAATTATATATTTATTCTAATTTATAATACATGCTGGCAGAATGCAATTTATTTCATATTACACATATAGAACACAATTTTTCGAGTCACTGATTGTACACAATGTATTTTCACACCATTTGTGTCTTCATACGTGTACTTAGGGTAATGACGTCTAACTCATTCCACCATCATTCCTACCCCCTGTCCCCCTCCCTTCCCCTTCATTCCTTTTGCCCTATCTTAAGTTCCTCCATTCCTCCCATGCTCCCCAACATCCCCATTATGGATCAGCATCCTCATATCAAAGAAAACACTCAGCCTTCGGTTTTTTGGGATTGGCTAACTTCACTTAACATGATATTCTTCAACTCCATCCATTTACCTGCAAATGCCATGATTTTATTCTCTTTTAATGCTGAGTAATATTCCACTGTGTATATATACCACATTTTCTTTATCCATCTACTGAAGGACATCTAGGTTGGTTCCACAATTTCACTATTGTAAATTGTGCTGCTATAAAACATTGATATGTTTTTAAGTCCTTTGGGTATAAACCGAGGAGAGGGACAGCTGGGTCAAATAGTGGTTCCATTCTCAGTTTTCCAAGAAATCTCCATACTTCTTTCCATATTGGCTGCACCAATTTGCAGTCCCACCAGCAATGTATGACTGTGCCTTTTTCCCCACATCCTCGCCAATACTTGTTGTTTGTATTCTTCTTCTTCTTTTTTTTTGAGAGAGGGAATTTTTTTTAAAAATATTTATTTATTTATTTTTCGGTGGACACAACATCTTTGTATGTGGTGCTGAGGATCGAACCCGGGCCGCACGCATGCCAGGCGAGCGCGCTACCACTTGAGCCACATCCCCAGCCCGAGAGAGAGAATTTTAACATTTATTTTTTTTAGTTTCTGGCAGGCACAACATCTTTGTTTGTATGTGGTGCTCAGGATCGAACCCGGGCCGCACGCATGCCAGGCGAGCGCGCTACTGCTTGAGCCACATCCCCAGCCCCTGTTGTCTGTATTCTTGAAAGCTGCCATTCTGACTGGAGTGAGATGAAATCTTACAGTAGTTTTGATTTGCATTTCTCTAATTGCCAGAGATGTTGAACATTTTTTCAACATTTGTATATCCTCTTCTGAGATTTCTGAACAGTGTCTGTTCAGTTCCTTGGCCCATTTATTGATTGGCCCATTTTTTGGTGTTAAGGTTTTTGAGTGCTTTAAATATCCTAGAGATTAGTGCTCTATCTGATGAGTGAGGGGTTAAGATTTGCTCCCATTCTGTAGGCTCCCTATTCACCTCACTTATTGTTTCTTTTGCTAAGAAGCTTTTTAGTTTGAATCCATCCCATTTATTGATTCTTGGTTTTAATTCTTACGTTTTAGGAGTCATATTAAGGAAGTTGGGGCTTAATCCCACATGATTTGGGCCTACTTTTTCTTCCATTAGGTACACGGTCTCTGGTTTAATTCCTAGTCCTTGATCCACTTTGAGTAGAGTTTTGTCCATGGTGAGAGATAGGGGTTTAATTTCATTTTGTTACTTGTGGATTTCTAGTTTTCTCAGCACCATTTGTTGAAGAGGCTATCTTTTCTCCAATGTACATTTTTGGAGCCTTTGTCTAATATAAGATAGCTGAAGTTATGTGGGTTAGTCTCTGTATCCTCTATTCTGTACCATTGGTCTACAGGGCTATTTTGGTGCCCATACCATGTTGTTTTTGTTACTATTGCTCTGTAGTATAGTTTAAAGTCTGGAATAGTAATGCCACCAACTTCACTCTTCTGGCTAAGGATTGCTTTGGCTATTCTGGGTCTCTTAATTTTCTAGATGAAAACTAGGGATTATCAGGAATATACCTCAACATTGTAAAAGCCCCAGGTCAACATCATTCTAAATGGAGAAAAATTGAAAGCATTCCCTCTAAAAACTGGAACAAGACAGGGATACCCTCTTGTACCACTTCTATTTAACACAATTCTTAAAATCCTAGCCAGAAAAATCAGACAGATGAAAGAAATTAAAGGGATATGGATAGGAAAAGAAGAACTCAAATTATCACTATTTGCAGATGATATGATTTTATACCTAGAAGACACAAAACATTCCACCAGAAATCTCTTAGAATAAATGAATTCAGCAAAGTAGCTGGATATAAAATCAACATCCATAAATCAAAGACATTTCTGTACATTAGTGAAAAATCCTCTGAAAGAGAAACTAGAAAAACCACCCCATTTACAATAGCCTCAAAAAAATAAAATACTTGGGAATAAACTTAATGAAGGGCTGGGGACACAGCTCAGTTGGTAGAGTGCTTGTCTTGCATGCAAAAGGCCTTGGGTTCAATCCCCAGCACCATCAAAAAAAAAAAAAAAAAAAAAGAAAAGAAAAAATTAAACTTAACCAAAGAGGTGAAAGACCTCTACAATGAAAACTACAGCATGCTAAAAAAAGAAATTAAAGAAAAACTTAGAAGATGGCAAAATCTACCTTGTTCTTGGATAGACAGAATGACAGAATTAATATTGTCCAAATGGCCATACTACCAAAAGCACTATACAGATTCAATGCAATCCCAATCAAAATCCCAATGACATTCCTGATAGAAACAGAAAAAGCAGTCATGAAACCCATAAATCTTTTTAAGTTGTAAATATTCAATTTAATTTATTTTTAATTTGAGGGGGGGGGAAGAAACCTTTTGCTAGAGGGAGATTTGAAGATGAAAGGAGAGTTTTTGGTTTTACTTTTTTTTTTTTTTAGTTGTAGATGGACACAAATTTTTTAAAATTTATTTTTATGTGCTGCTGAGGATGGAACCCAATGCCTCACACATGCTAGGTGAGTGCTCTACCACTGAGCCACAATCCCAGCTCTGGTTTTGCTTTTTAAGATGGGAAAGATTGAACAACAAGTGTTGGCAAGGATGTGGTGGAAAAGGCACATTCATACATTGCTGGTGGGACTGCAAATTAGTACAGCCAATATAGAAAATGGTATGGAGATTCCTTAGAAATCTGGGAATGGAACCACCATTTGACCCAGCTATTCCTCTCCTAAGACTATACCCAAAGGACTTAAAAACAGCATATTGCAGGGACCCAGCCACATCAATGTTTATAGCAGCACAATTCACAATAGCTAAACTGTGGAGCCAACCTAGATGTCCTTCAGTGGGTGAATGGATTACAAAATGTGGCATATATACACAATGGAATTTTACTCAGCATTAAAAAAGAACAAAATCATGGCATTTGCAGGTAAGACAATGGAGAAGATAATTCGAAGTAAAGTTAGCCAATCCCCAAAAAAACAAATGTTGAATGTTTTCTCTTATATAAGGAGGTTGACTCATAGTGGGGTAGGGAGGGGAAGCATGGGAGGATTAGATTAATTCTAGATAGGGAAGAGGGGTGGCAGGGAAAGGGAGGGGGCAGAGGATTAGCAAGGATGGTGGAATGTGATGGACATCATTATCCAAAGTACATGTATAAGGGGGCTGGGGATGTGGCTCAAGTGGTAGCGCGCTCGCCTGGCATGCGTGCGGCCCGGGTTCGATCCTCAGCACAGCATACAAACAGGGATGTACAAACAGGGATGTTGTGTCTGCCGAGAACTGAAAAATAAATATTTAAAAAAAATTCTCTCTCTCTCTCAAAAAATAAATAAATAAATAAATTTATTTTAAAAAGTACATGTATGAAGACACGAATTGGGTGTCAACATACTTTGTGTACAGAGATACGAAAAATTGTGGTAAAGTCTATTAAGAATTGAAATGCAAAAAAAATTTTTAAATTTTAAATAAATATATATTTATGTAAAAAAAAAAAAGATGGGAAGGATTAGAGTTCATCGCCTTGGCTTCTACCTCCATGAGTCCTTCAGGATGGGGCTGGTCACCATAAAGAACAAACCAGCTTAGTCACCTGGGATTTCCAGCCCCACACTGGGTTCCAGGGTTGGAGGTTGAGTTCAACTGCCAATGGCCAGTGTTTAATCACAACCCCATAATGAACCTTCAGCAAAATTCCTAACCGAGAGCTTCCAGGATGCTGAATTCATGGTGGTGCTGGGGTGGAGGTAGGGCTGCCCAGAGAGGACAAGGAGCTCCTCCCCACGCCTCCATCCTGTCTTATTTCTCTCATTTGGCTTTTCCAGAGTTATGCATTTTACAATAATGCTATTCCCACGTTCTGCAAGTCATTTTAGCAAATTTTCAAGGATGAAAAGGGGATTGTGTGAAATTCCAAATTCATAGCCAAATTGCTGATCAGAAGTCAGACTTATGTGAATGGGGCTAAACCCTTCATTTGTGGAGTCTGTGCTAATTTTGCATTAGTCAGAATTTAATGGAATTGTGGGATACCCAGCTGGTGACTGGAGAATTGGCTGGAGTCAAAGAATCTCAGGGGGTATTCTGCTATTTTGAGGTTCAGAGATACCACTAGTGCCTCTGTTTGGTTTCATCCTGAGATTGGAAGGCTTTCATAACCTGCTGGGAACATGACCACTTCTTCCCACTTATTTCTGGGTTACGAACTCAGATCCAAACAAACTTCTGGGACGTGACCATTTATCTCATGCCAACGAAAGGACCCGGCAACCATGAGCCTCCCCTGTACGCTATCTCACTCCCTGCCCCTGGGCTCACCTGGATATCTTTTTTAAAATATTTATCTTTTAGTTGTAGTTGGACATAATACCTTTACTTATTTATTTATTTATTTTTGCATGGTGCTGAGGATCGAACCCAGAGCCTTGTGCATGCTCGGCAAGCACTCTACTGCTGAACCACAACCCCAGCCCCTCACCTGGATTTTAAGCCTGAATTTCCGGATGCCAGAGAAAGCTTTAAGTGCATTCAGAGCTTGGATTTTGACACTGGTGTCCTTGTCTTCCAGCATGTCAGCCACCAACTTGATATCATCATTAGTACAAGCAGAGGCCTGGAGTGTGTGTGGAGAGACGGAAGAGGCAGGAGAAGCGGGTGTCCAGGGCCCACTGCCCACCCCCCCCCCATGTCACCAAAGACCACTCTCCCAGCACAACCCTCCCACAATCATGTAGACGCTGGTCCCAAGAGGCCCTCTGGCAGGTCAAAGGGCAGGGAGAGCATAACCCTAGCAGTCAGGTTGCATAGGAGGGACCTCCTGCCTCCCTTTCCTCACCTCAGCCTCCAGCAAGTACACACAGCGAGCGATGCTGTGCAGGATCATGCTCCTGGTGTACCCATCATGCTTGCACTCCAAAGAGTTGAGGAGTCTCCGGAGCTCACCTGAGTCCCGCCCATGGCGCTCTCGCTCGATGGCCAGGCCTAGACAGCCACCCAGCCCGGTTTAGGATGTGGACTCGGCAGTAATGAAAGAATGGGGACACAGAGGAGAAGGACCTGGGGACAAAGCTGCCTTGTTTCTTTAGATTTTTTCTATATGCAGGACTACATGTGCAGCTGAACAGGGAGTGTACTGCACAAGGGCACCCTACCTGATGTTGTACTGTCTATGTCATTATATCCCATATTTGTGAATTTACTACCTAGTTTTTTGGCATGTGGCAGTTAACAAGTAATGATTCATTGTAATCAACATATGGCAATGATATTCCAGCAGGTGGCAATTAAGGGATCTCACAGAAAGTGCCTCTTTTCTGACTTTGCACAAAAGTGCCATAAAGGCTGGTGGAAACTCTGGGCATGAAGGTGCCCCGATTTTCCCTTTCCTTGAAGCCTCAAGTTCCTAGACAAGAAAGGAATGGGGGAGCTGCTGATGTCAAGTTTCCAAGAAGTGAATGCCTGGAAGCCAAAGTGAATGTAGGATTTAGAGACCTGCCAGATTAGTCCTGGGGTCACACCTTGGTGATATCTACCCAGAGTCCCCAAACTAACATCTCTAGCAGGGCCTTGCCTAGGGTGCTACGGGGCTCCTAAGAAAGATGAAGAGGAGAAAGAGGAAGGAGAGAGGAACTTGAAGGAGTCACCTTTGGGCCTTTCTACAGGGGAGGCCTCAGAAGCAGGTGCCTCCTGGGGCGGAGCCCTCTCCCCAGGGACTGGACACTCACGGGCGATGCAGATGGGCGAATTGGAGCAGAGAGGTGGCTGGCATTTTAGGCCAGCCCTGATGGCCTTGTAGAGCAGGTAGATGGCTGAGGCACCTGTGGCCAGGCCCACTATACTTTTGCGGATGTCCAGTTGCCCCAGGTACTCGGGGATGCTCTTGCCCATATCTTTAGCGCTGCCTTGTACCCGGGTGGGAGCTATGCCCAAGGCACCTGGGAAAGGCCTTCCGGAACCAGAACTCTGGCAGGGCCAGGAACCAGGGTACCAGAATTGAAACCTAGGCAACAAAGGAAAATAGGGAGATGATGGGATGGAGGGTCTTAGCTGGGAAGTGGCATGACCAGGGGTGCTTGAAAAAGAGAGAAGGTTCAGCTTTCAAGGCTGCAGAGAAGAAGCTGGAGACTCTGGGGCCAGTGGGTGGGGGGGGGTAGCTCAGTGGTAGAGCACTAAAGCTAGCACCGGTCAGGCCCTGGGTTCCATGCCCAGCATCGGAAAGGGAGGGAGGGAGAAAGAGAGGAGAAAGTAAAGGAAATTTTAAAAGGAAAGGAAAAGAAGAAAAAAGAAAGAAAAAGAAAAGCAAGGAGGCAGGGGCAGATGGGCATCTCCTTGTCTTGAGGGGAGCCAGGTTGGAGGGGCCCAGCAGGTAGCTCCAGGGGCTGCCCTTTCCTCCACTAGAGGGCAGCAGACACCCATTTCTGGCTGGGGCCTTTGGGCATTTCTGGGAGTCTGGGGTGAGCCCATTGACCCCCTTCTTTTGCTTCCCTCCTGTCTTTGATCTTTCTAAGGTAGATCTATCCCTGGACCTTGGTGTGTTTCTTTAGACAGAGCTTCCTCAACCCTGGAAGGTGAAATGAAGTGGACATCTTATCAAGTTTTGCAGCCTTGGGTACAGCAGTCACTTTCCAGCTTCTGCACGTGGACCTGGAGTGTGAGGAAAGCTTGTGAGGACAACCATCTTTGCATCCCAGCACCCGACATAGATTTCTGCGCTTCACAGGTATCTGTCATGCCTCATCACTCTTTGAAAGTTTGGGGACGGAATAATGACAGAGAGTCTGGAAAGTGTGGTTCCAGGCCCATCTAACTTGAGTGACCCTGGAGGGGAAAGGAGCCATCCTTTTCTGGGTCTGTTTCTGCACTTAAAACCCAGGGGATCCCAGATCTTCCATTCTAAAACACCAGGATTACAATGTGAGCAGATCTGTGCCTTTCAGCCATGAAACGGTGGTGGTGTGACCCCCGCTCCAGCCTCCCCACACAGGGGATGAGGTTTGCGACCTGTAGACAGAAAATTCTACCACCCCAGAGGATGGGAGCCATCTTTACAGGCTTTGATCTCTACCACTAGATGGGCCATGTGCAAACAAATCCTTCTCTTCTCTCCGTCAGTCTCCCTACACCTTCTGGCCTCTCTCTGGTACAGAACAGGGAGATGACAAGCTCCCAGTTAGGGTCAGACCCAAAGCCAGTGTTGAGCATGGTTGTACCACAACAGGGTTTTACCCACCTCATCCCAGGAGAACTGGGGTAGAAGTCTCTGGGTCCTGGGCTGCACCTGGATGGGAGGCGGGAGTGGGAAATAGCATTCTGAAGGATGCTGCAGCTGTCCAGGCATGGCCACTCAGAACCTCTGCCCATCACACCCCAGGCTGCAGGCAGGAAACAGGCCACACTCCTAGGCAGTCATCTCTTCCTATCCTCTCTTTTATCCCCACCCTTCCTCTAGGGTCATTCTTAGCACTTCGCCCCAAGGTGGGTGACTACATGGACTGTCTGCAATGAGAGGTGGGTGAGCATAGGCTCACTGCTAGGGAACTACCCATTGTACCCCATAATCTGCAGGCAGGAAATAGCTGCCTGATAGGCAACTGTCATTTCTGGTTCCAAGGCTCCCTTGGTGGATCTGAACAGATCCTTCAGAACAAGGTCCCTGCTCTGCTCACGGCTGCTGTCCCCTCAGTGCTATGGAGCTGATTCTGCAGCTCACACATCTGAAGCAGATTTGTCATCTGTTCTTTAAAGACCTCCCAAGAGAGTTCTTTCTTGGCTGTAACCTGATTCCCTCCTGCCATACTAAAGACCATTTCTTCTGGTTCTGCCCTCAAATGATTCAGAGGGAGCAGAGAGGCAGGGTCATACCCAGGGTGACATTTTCACTAGTCCCCAGTACAATGAAAAAAATAAAGACAGAGGAGCATCTATTAGTCAGTGTAAAGTCAATGACTCCTTTCTTGGGAATGACTGGTAGATTTTTGTTATTTTTTTTTTCAGGGATGGGGTTTTGCTATATGACCTAGGCTGGTCTCAACTAACCTCAAGATGCCCTCCTGCCTCAAATCTCCTGAGTAGCTGTGACCATGGGTGCCCGGAAAGAGTGTTTGGTTTTGATTTAGATGATGATCCTTTTTTAATGATAATTCATACATATTTTCTTTAATGAAATGGAGATAATCGATGGTAGGTGGTTTTTAAATTTTAAAAAAATATATATTATTTTTAGTTGTTGATGGACCTTTGTTTTATTTTATTTTATATTCGGTGCTGGGAATCAAACTCAGTGCCTCACACATGCTAGGCAAGTGCTCTACCACTAAGCCACAATCCCAGCCCCCTTTTTTTAATTATTTTTTTTATAATTTTTTTTGTGTGTGTGGTGCTGGGGGTTCAACCCAGGGGCACCTAACCACTGAGCCACATCCCCAACCCTTTTTTATATTTTATGTAGAAAATTGCTAAGTCTGGCTTTGAACTTGAGATTCTCCTACCTCAGCCTCCTGAGTTGCTGGGATCAAAAGCGTGTGCCACTGCACCAGGTGGTAGGTGTGTTTTAAATGTTCTTAGGAAATGTATTAAAAGCTGCGACTCCTTCTGGGAACTTGGCTTGGTTTATTTTCTTGTTTTGTTTTTCCATCACATCTAGAATGTCACATCTGGATTAGGTGGCCAGAAAGAAGTCTAAGAGTCAATATACACAGAGGCAGCCATGAGCTCCTTACCTGCCTTCACCAAGAAAAAGACACAGGCTGCCTTGGCTTGCACCTCTGTGCCATTGGTACCAGCTCTTCACCTCCAGGGCCAATGTTCCCACGTGTTCAGTGCAGCTTCGTGTAGGGGATGGGAATGGGCTGTAGCCAGACTGCCATGGCTCCAAACCAGTGCAGCCACAGAGGTAGCTCTGTGATCTTTGTGCCTCATTTTCCCGGCCTGTAAAACGGGACTAATCTGACCTACTTCATGGACTTGTTTGTGAGGATTAAGTAAAGTACTTGGAACACTGCCCTGCACACAGAGTTCAACCAATGTTGACTATAATAATTATGAGGTTTCACCTGGACAAAATGTTTGAGTGTGGTAAGGCCCACAGCAAGCCTAATGGCGTCCCGCCCTGAAAAAGCGCACTACTCGCCCCTTCAGCCTCTGCCACTCGCCCTGGTCGCAATGGTCTTCTTAAGACTGATCAATCTCAACTCATGAAAATTATTTAACTACCTTGAGAGACTTCGGAGTCCTCTTTGAAGCCCACAAATCCCCAATTTAGAAGCGGTAGCCCCCAGTCCATTCCCCTAACCACTTTGTTCCTAAGCCATCCACCCCTAAGGCCACTGCCTCTTGCTCTTCACGATGCTCTTGCAATCCTCCTAAACTATAATGCTCCAGGTGCTATTGGGGGGCCTATTAGGAAAGTCAGTCCTAGGTCATTACCAAGGGTGACCTTTTTACCTTGTGAGACCCAGCACTTGTGCACTTAAAAGACAAGAGAAGATTGGTCTGCTCCACACTCCAAGGAAAAACCCTTTTGAGTCCTATTGCCATGGGTTCAAATCCCAGCTGTGTGGGATTTGGACCTATCCCATCATCTGAGTCTTAGTTTCCTCCTCTAGAGGAATTTACTACCTGGAAGTGCTGCCATCAGGACCGACCGAGAGAACGTGCGGCTCCTCTCGGCACAGGCGACGCTCAATACGCCCAGCTTCCTGGCACAAGGTTGGGGGCGCCCGTGCCCTTCCTGGATGCCACTCTCCGAGACCATCCCCTCCCCAGCTAAAGCTTACCCCGGCCCAGGAACTAGAGCCGTGGAACTCCGGCAAAGGCACGGAAACCCCGGAGAAACCCGCAAAAGCAGCGGGTGGGGGCGGCGCCCCCGGAGGAGGAGGACCGGGTGGGGGCGGAGGCCGCGCCTCCTCCACCCGGGCCTCCCCCCCACCTCACTCTCCCTCCCCCGACTCCCTCCTCCCCCGAGCGCATCCGGCAGCGGGCACAGGATGTTCTTTCGCTCCCGTCCTCCCCCCTCCCCGCCCCCGCTCTCACTTTCTCTCCGCTCCCCTCCTCCACTCCCGCCGCGCCCGGCGCCGGCACCTTGCTTAACTCCTTCTCTCCGGGGTCTGGGGCGTCCACGCGCCGGGTAGCAGTCCCACCTTCCCGCCCGCCCCGTTGCAGGCCCAGCAACGCTGAGCTGAGCGCCTGGCCCCTCTTTCAGGCTCCTCTGGCCAGTCCTGGGTGAAAGGTGGAAAGGCCTCCAAGGACAGGGGCCGACATCCCGTCTAGCTCGCCAGGTTTAGGTGGGGTGCGCGCCCCGAGCTAGCGGCGCGTCGGAAGGGACCGCCGAGTGGGAGTGGGCGTAGTCAGCTGGGGCCGGGCGCGGGCTGAGAGGGTCTAAGGACTCTAATAACCCCATCCTCCCCAAAGGAACCGCCAAGCAGCGACCAAGGGTGGCAGAAGAGGATGGAGAGAGGCCACGCCCCTCGAGTTACGTCACTGCTTCCTAGGCAACCGGGGCAGACTAGAGGAGGGCAGACCTCAGGGAATCCAGGCTTTGGGACAGGGCGGGGTTGCGGGTAGAGGTGGGGGCGCGGCAGGGGCGGGCTTTTCAATCTTTGCAGCTTCGCTCGTTGTCGGAGAAACTAAGTGAGGCACAGCTATGTTCCCCCCCCTCTCTTTCGTTCAACAAACATGCTTGGTGCGATGCTTAAGCACTGGGATATTGCACTCCATCCGAAGCCTGCCCTCACGGATTATGGTGGCTGTGCATCCCAGGCTGTGTCCCTGGAACCAGTGTAATTATTAATATTGTCCCTTTTTACGTGTAAAGTATCCAGGAATGGGTAAGGGTTAAGGAAGACTTGGTCCCCTAATTAAGGGAAAGTTTCAACCATGCAGAGAAAGAAGGAAGACAAACTATTGTATGCTCACCATTCAACAATCACTTTCCTAGCATTTTATAATCTCTGTGAGTTTTGTCCCTCATTCTGCAGGGCAGGCATCCCTCGTGCCTTTTACAGATGAAGAAACTGACTCAGACAGGTCTTACTCAAGGCCCAACAATTCTATATGAACCTGAGTGCCCTACCTCCTGCTTCTTTCTTAAAATAAATAGATCATATACAATAAACAAAAAGATACTTATCCTTTTCATGAAGGAGTTTATAACATTTGGAGGAAAGGGCTGAAAATATTACAGAAACAGAATTAAACAATAAAATATAGAAGACTGCTCATAAGGCTCAGAGGGAAGTTGAAGTTGATGACAAACCAATCAAAATGGTGTGGATACTATCAGAGACTTCTTGTGGGGGATGGATTTTGAGTTGCATCCATAAGTGGAATCACTAGAGGTGTGTATGAGATGTGGTTCCAAGAAACAGAAAGACTATGAGAATCAGAACAGGGACTCAGAGTGAAGTGGGCTAGAATCTCTCAATGGCAAGATCCCTCTGTAAACCCCAAAGCCATTGGTGTTTACTTTTGTGTTCTGCCTTCTGCTCTCTCTGTGGCCTTATCTCTTATGGGAGCAGATACTGGCAGCTGCGCCCATTCTACTTTAAACCCAAGGTCTCTACGATTGGTATTTGGCACAAATTCCCTGATGTGACTTTGGATATCAGCTTCTCCCTTTCAGATCCCCCTCTGAAGATTTGGGGGAAATGAACCTGAGTTTGCCTCGGGAAGCCAATAAACTTGCTGAGAATGGGGAGATGGAGTCAGGAGAGAGAGGTAGAGGGATGAGAAGGTGGTACGAATAAATGAATTGGACAATTGAAAAATATTTGCTGCCCTCTCACTGTGCAGCAGGCACTGTGCTAGGTAGATTCCACTTCAGTGATCTGGAAAGGCCATGAATGAATCTGAACACATACAGATCACATAGCAGCTGGCACACCCAGTATGCTTGGCTGAGACGTCTGCGCTGATAACAGATACGACAAATGGTGTTTGAGAAAGATTATTCCAGCAGGGCATGTAGGAGTAAGAAACAACCTGGATCAGAAAGACTGCAGCACTTTGGATCAAAGGTGATATCTATGGGGCTGGAGAGGAAGGAGTGAATGAGAAAGGTAATGACTAAACAATGCATTTTAAAATAACAGCAACAAAAAGAAGAAAGCAGAATCTGGTAACAGATCAGACATAGGATGGTGAAGGAGAGAAAGCAGTTAAACATCAACCCACCTTCACAATGATTTGGGGGGACTAGGAGTGTCACAAGGGACAATGGGGAGGAGTTGGTGCAAGGGGCATGAGTGAGTTTAGTCACTTCTAGGCCAGATTAAGGCAAGTGACCCATATATGACTGGATTTGAAGATGGGAAAATCCAGAAGGGTAGTGGGACTGGGGCAGTGTCCCAGTCCTGGCTTCAGAGCAATCACTGACCTGGGATGCCATGGACAGATTCATGCATCAAGTTGCATCAAGTTGAAGTTTGGAATAGATGACAGCAAAGCTGCCTCCCTTCTAGGGGGGGTTGGTGAGTGCTGGCTGGGTGACAGCATGTGTGGGAAGTGTGCTGTATGTGTTGGAAGGTGGTCCATATGGCCCAGGACCATGTTGGCATCCATCTGTTAATTTTTGGCTAAAGAACTAGCCAGTGATTCCATCAGATGGGCCTGGGGGCACAAGGCCCAGGTGAGGCACTTCTGCAGCTTAGGGTCCCTCCCCTAACTCCACCCTCAAAGGCCCTGGAGCCCAGGCCTGTACTGCCTGCCAAGGTCTTTCCTGGAACCCGGCAGAGGACAGAGCCCCTCCCTGCCTGCCCTGGCACTCTCCAGGCACAGGGTGTCCCTCTAGGCACCTTACAGACACCCCAGGAGGCTGGAGCTGAGACAGCCCCCCTTTCCAAGAGCCTTTGCCCTGGGATGCTGCCATTCTCCCAATGTCCCCACCAGGCCAGAAGAGACAGCAGGCAGGCACAGGGGAAGAAGGAAGAATTTTTTGGCTTCCTGGGTCTTTGCTGTGGCTTCAGATGGGAGGGTGGGGATGGCAGAAAAGCAGAGTCACAGGCTTCAGAGCATCACACCACCTGCTTCTGCCTCCCTCCCAGGAGGAAACCTTCAGGGGCCTAGTGGTTTTGAGGGGAGGGGACAGGAAGAGACTCTGAACTCTGGGTCAACTGAGGACAAAGAGCGCTTGCCCTATATCTTATTTCTTCTAGGATTCTCTTCCTCTGCTTCTTACCCACCATCACCCCAGAACAAACTCATATCTCTGTCTACAATTAAGGGAAACGGGACACGTACCCAACGGGACGTTTATCAGACGCTGTGTGCCGAGCCACACCTGTCGGATGCGGAGAGCGCCCCTCCCAGGTGGATAGACCCTGCGGTGCTCGGGCGGGGCACTGGGAGACGCTGTCCTGGCGGGGCGAGAAGGCAGAGGGCAGCGCAAACGGGCCACGTGGAGGCCGGCCGCGGGGGGCTGGGGCGCGCGGCGGGGAGCGGGGGGTGCGCTCGCCACTCCCGCTCGCGGGAGCCGCCGGGTGTCGCGGCCGCTGACCGCAGGCTGCAGGAGCGGTTGATCTGGTGAGCGAGCACACCCACTTACCCAGCTGCTGAGTCAGGCTGTTCTCGCTCGCGCTCGCCCGCCCGCCCGCCGGCTCGGGACATTGTGTTCCAGCCCCGGCGCGCTGGCAGCGGGCCCAGGCGCTCACACCAGCCTCCTCGCCTTGTTTGTGCTCGCGGCTTACGCTCGGCGCGCAGTCACGCCGCGGTCACAGCCTCCCGGCCGCGGCGGCCCTGGGAGCGCGCGCTGGGGCCGGGGCTGGCGCGCAACCTCTGAGACGTGCGCCCCCGCCGGGTGGGCCCCGCAGCCCCGCAGCCCCGCAGCCCCGCAGCCCCGCGCACTCACCAGCCCCGGAGCACCCAGACATCTCCGTGCCCAACTGCCCCGCGGGTCGGATGCCTAGGCTTGTGAGGGCTCTGGGTTAGCATAGGGGGGCAGGTGTTGGAAAGTCCACCGGAGAGGGGCCCCCAGAGCTGCCGCCCGTGCCCCTCCAAGCGCTCGTTCCAGCAGTCTGGAGGACAGCTGGGAGCACGCCAGCCCCAGGCTTGTCAGACCTGGGATGCAGTCACGTGACAACGGAAGCCTGTGTTGAGGGGGCCAATTCAAGCGATCCCCAGGAAGAGCCTCCCCTTCCCTCGCCCCCACTTCCCTGATCCTCCACACAAGCCGGCAGCACGGAGAGTCCTGGGGTTCCCGGCACTGGCAAACCAAGCCTGGCCCTTTGGGACAGCTTGGGAACTCCCTGGCAGGGCTCTGGGAGTCGGGAGAGCCCAGATCCTATAGGGTGGGAGTGGTGGAGGAATGGCAGGGATTAGCACGAAGACCCCAAACTGGCCCTGAAGCCTGACCCTTCCGTTTGTCCAGTTCCAAATCCTGGTTTATTCAGAACCGGGATTTCTCCTTACTCATGTTTCTGCAGAAAGACAACTGAGGGCTGAGTGCTGGTCCAGAAGGTTCCACCCCCTCCGAACTGAGGAGGGGACAAAGGATTTATATGCTGCGCACCTACCTGAGGAAGGTTCTGTGTTGGGTCCTGCTAAGGATGTCATGAAAAGTTTGTTACAATTCCTAAAATCCTTTATTCTTCCTCCTTCCCACATCCATATTTGCTGTGCCATGTCCCTGACAGGAGTGCTTGTCCTCCGTGTCTAGCCATCCCTTGGCTTCAGCTCATAAGGGTCCCTTGAAACGCCACCAACCAAATCTGAATCCCCTCTCCTCCCCAAGCCCAACACACTTGGTTTGTACCTTTCCCAGGCATGGCCAGCGGCCTGTCTCCTGTTCTAGTGATCTGTTTACTAATCCTGTTCTAACCAGATTAGAAAGTCCTTGAGGCAGAAACTAAATCTGGTTCTTTGAAGCCTCCCCCATCCCCCCAACTCATCCCTCGCAGGCCCAGCCTGGCACGGGAGGTGGTGTTCAATAAATACTGGGTGTATTGAAATGATTTCCTGCCCTTGGGCAGTTTGTAGGCCAGTTGAAGAGACAAACACCCGGTGTGTGAGGTTAAATAATAACTGAAGCCAGCAGGTGGTAAGTACCAAATGTGCATAACAGATAAAGGGACTCAAAGCAAGAAGATAGTGGTATGGGACAAAGCTCCTAAGAGGTTCTAGATCTTGAGCCCTGAGAGTGTGTGTGTGTGTGTGTGTGTGTGTGTGTGTGTAGGAGGAGGAGAGGGGAGGGTGGAGTGGAGGTGACTCATTCTGGTTGACATCACCACAAAATAGTCTTCGTGCTAGACACTTTACATGCATTATCTTTCAAATTTAAGGATGGGGGAGGGGTTTGGGAGGGTTGTAAGGGAAAGTGCCCAATCCTGGCCTGCCCAGAGCCAGTGAAAGTGTAGGAGCAACCTTGAATGTGGGCTCCCTGCCCTCAGTCCCTGGGCACTGCCTGTTCCCTGGCCTGCCACTCCTACATACTACACCCAAGAGCACCCGACACTGCCCAGTTCTGGATGGATGCACTCTGGTCCTGCCCTGGTGAACAAATGGCTGTGTGACCTTGGGTAAGACACTTCCTCACCTGTCATCTGTCCCTCCTTTGCAGCCCTTAACAGGCTGTGGCTTTGTGAGTCAGTGTCCAAGTGATGCTTGCCACCTCCCCTGATGTTACCTGGGCTGCTGTGGTGCCTGCCCTCCCCGCCGCCACCACGCACACATACTTTGTTCCCTCCCAGTCTGGAGCTGCTGAGAGGAACACTGGGTACAGAGTGTGAGAAGGGATGGTAGGTTTCCTGTGGTTGCAAAAGGAACAGCGGGACTTTCCCTGCTGTACCCAAGCTGTGGGAGAAGTGGGGGAGGAGGAGGAGGCAGGGCCAACCTCCAAGGAACTTCTACTCTCTTCCCGCCCCTCCTTAGTGCTCCCAGCTCTCAAAAAGGCTGGTACAGTTTGTTACACTGGGGCCGGAATGTACCGTGTGTTTCATATGGCCTCTGTCCAGTCCTACACTGGTCACTTTATGTTTACACTTCCTTCTCCAGCTGGGGCATCCTGCTGTCCGTCAACCCTGCTCTCATCTGCCCACCTCCCCTGAGTTACCCACCAAGGATCACGAAGTGAGTCTCCTGCCCCCATGGTTCATGGGGGGATGGGAAGTTAGGATGCAGAAAGAGCCCTGGAGAGGGGAAGTCGGACTCCAGAAGGGCAAAGCCCCAGTTTCCTTTCTTTCTCCCACCACAGGAATCTCTCTGAGGTGGGTCCTCTTCTCCTTGCCACCCTGGTTTCCCTGGCACTTCAGCAATATTCCTGGGTCCAGCTGGACGTGTCTATCAGGTGCCTCCCAAAACCTAGTAATCACTGAATCTCCCCCACCAGTCTCAGAGAACACAGGGCAGAGTGGAGGCCTGGCACTGGCCAGGAATATCCTACCCTCTTACCTCCAGGAGTCACATATTCCTAAAATAAATTGCAATTTTTTTTCTTTTCTTCTCTTTTTTGAGACTGGAGTCAAGCCATGTTGCTCAGGCTGGTCTTCCACCTTCTGGACAATAGCAATCCTCCTGCTTTAGTCTTTCAAATAGCTGGGACACCACTACACCCTGTAACAAAATGGAATTTGACACTAGGGGATTTCTTTCTCTTCCTTTTTTTTTTTTTTTTTGGTACTGGGGATTGAACCCAGAAGAGCATTACTATGGAACTACATCTTTAGTCCTTTTTGCCCCCCCCCCTTTTGTGTGTGTGTGTGTGTTTGTGTGGTGGTAGGGATTGAACCAGGGCCTTGTGAATTCAAGGCAAGCACTCTAGCAACTGAGCTATATCCCCAGCCCATCTTTAGCCCTTTTTAATTTTTATTTTGAGACAAGATCTCACTAAGTTGTTTAGGGCCTCCCTAATTTGTTGAGGCTGGCCTCAAACTTGTGATCCTCCACCCTCACCCTCCTCAAACTTGTGATCCTCCACCCTCACCCTCCCAAGTCACTGGGATTACAGGTGTACACCACAGTGCCTGGTGACACATGGTGATTTCTTAATGATTTTCTGAGTTGTGATCAGTTCGTCTCTTCAAAGTGGCTTAGATATTCAGAGATAATGCATTTTTGATCTGGCCTTCCTCCTAGAGGAATAATGTAATATTATTCACCCATTTGACAGGCCGAAACCTGGAGACTAGCAAGACCCTGGAACACACTCTCAGCAGTGGAGTTGGATGGTCAGGATTGTTCTTCATGGGCTCAGCTTGATTCTTGGCCAGCTGGCCTGCCTGCTGCCCCTCACCTTCTACCCAGAGGTAAACTGTCTGGTTGTACTGATTTAGCACTGAGATCCAAAAACCAGAAGCTGAGACTGGATCCCAGGCTGTGAAGTCAGCTCTGTCGGTGGTAACCAGAGGCACACTTACATGGCCTTTCTTGGGACTTAAAATGGCCGAGTTTGGGGAATAATCAACCTGATGTCAAGCCCTGCCATTTGTATTAGATTGTGTATTAGACTTTTCATTTCCCTGTCCTAACTCAGGGTGAGCCTAGAGTTCCTCCAAAGTAAGGGAACTAGCACCCCATTCTCTTGCTGGGAAAACTGGGTTCAGAGCAGCTAGGGTGCTCACCCAAGGGCAAGAAACTAGGTGTGTGATTGCGGTCTGGGTGCTTTGCTTCGCGCCACAGGGCCTCTTCTGAGTTGGGAGAGGAAGAATTTCCCAAGATGTCCTGAAGCTGACTGGCCTTTTGCCCAGCTCTATCACCAAGGAGGGGACCATAGCACCCCACTGCCCATGCCACCATCCTCTACCCTGGGGCTGACACCAGACATCCTGTATTTGGTCAGCCTGTCCTGAGCACTGGCTTCCGGTCCTCAATTGCTTTCCTGGGCACACTGTGTCCTCTCTGAGCTGCTGCTTCTTCCTCTGAGTACTTCTTCCTCTTTTATTCTTCCTCCTTTCTCCGAATTCTGTTTACATACCTCCATCCAACTGTGTTTACTTTTATTTTTGCTTTTTGTATTTCTAGTCTCCTGAGAAGTTTCCCAAGGTCTCTTCCTCTTCGTTCCTCTGCCACCATCTTGTTTCCCAGGAAGTAATTTCCATTCGTACTCCACCCCCAACACCACACCTTGCCCCAAACTATTGCTAGCATCAGATTGTTCAGGATCATGTATTCAGTAGGCACTTATCGAGTATCTACTGTGTGCCTCAGGAATTTTGTTCATGCTCTAGGACCCAAAGTTCAAAAGCTATGCCTGTGCATTTAATTAAGCACCTACTGTGTTTGTGCAGTGGGCATTGTGCTTTAACCTAAAGACGTAAAAACTGGTTGCTGCATTCAAGACCCCTGGACTACTTGGGAAAATGCATAAAAACACATTTTGTAGGGTTGGGGTTGTGGCGCAATGGTAGAGCACTTACCTAGCATGTGTGAGGCACTGGGTTTGATTCTCAGCACCATAAATAAATTAGCAAAATTAAGGTCCATTGACAACTAAAAATAAAATAATAATAATAAAAAAAAAACTTTTGATTTTGGGAATGTTTTGGGAAGTTGGGGACCAGTGTGAAAGGCTCCTCTGAGTAGAAGAGTCTTCTTTGTGTCTGAGGGGAGCTAGCTAGGCAGAGTAAGGGTGCACAGTGTTCCAGGTAGCAGGAACAGTGTGTATAAAGGCACACAGGCGTGAAGCAGCCCCATGTTCTCCGGCGGGCACTCAGAATTGTTTGGTCTGGCTGGACATGGAGTGCAGGTTGGGAGCCCAGGGAGATGAGGCCAGAGGCAGACAGGCCCAGATGGTGCAGTACCTCGTGTTCCAGCAAAAGGATTGACCTTTATCCTGGAGCAGCCGGAAGCCCAGGCAGCCTCATGGCTCCCTGCAGCCGGGGAGCTCCAGGGCTGGGCGTGGGCCAGACCCAAAGTGTTCTCTGAGCCTCCATTAACGCACATTTTATTGCCCTTTGGCTTTGAAAAGCCTGTGGGAGAGTCACTTAAATATACCGCTATTTCCAAAGCACAGTCATTCATTCATTCATAAATGTTTAGCAGGCTCTGATGCCTGCCAGGTGCTGCTCCAAGAACCAGGACCAGTCAGTGAGCCCCACAAAGTCCCATCTCTCAAGAAACTTGCATCCTCAGTAGCTGGGGGCAGGGGACAGGCCATAAATAAACAAGTGAAACAAATTATTAAGATAATTTCAGATCGTGATAAATGCAAAGGAGAAAAATCAAATCGTGATGCCCCCAGAGAAGCCAGGTCTCCTAGGTGGTCAGAGAAGGTTGCCCTGAGGAAAGCCATGTTTGAGCTCAGACTTAGAGGACACAAACAAGCCTTCCTGTGAACATCTGAAGGCTGAGGGTTCCAGGTACAGGAAAATCACATGCAAGATATGTGCCCCAAGGCATGAAGGAGCTTGGGGGTTTTTCAGGTTTAGAAAAAATGGCTGGGTCAAATCTGTCAGTTCCCAGCAATGCTATGCAAGGATTATCAGATCCATTTTAGAGAGATGGAAACTGAGGCTCAAAATGGTAAAGTTCCTTGGCCCAAATCACAACTGATAGTACAAATTTTCACTCCAAAGCCACTGCTCTTTTTTTCTACCAAATTTCGAGTTCAGCAACCTTGTGTCCCAAATTATCCAGGAAGTTCCAGTTTCTAAAATCATTTTTCATTTTCCCCTGGACAGTCATCTTGGACATTCTCTCTGTTCCAAACCATGACCTTGAGCCCTGTCTTTGTCATGCACTACCAATGCAAGCACAGACTACCACTTCACCCTTGTAAGCCTCAGTTTTCTCATCCTTAAATGGGGAAAGTAACAGTTTCCATATCATCGTCTGGCTGAGGGGTAAAAAGGACATCGTTGGTGTGAGGCCGAATGCTGGGAACACTGGTGCACCATCCAATTAATAGTGCTTCTTGTGACTTTGGAAAATGGAGGCCAACTGCAGAATGGTCCTGCCCTCAAGAAGCTGGGGACCCAAGACCTGGAGAGAGAGAGAAAGAACTGTTGTGGGGCCTCTGAGATGGGAGACGGGGGGGGGGGGGGGGGGGGGAACGGTGGAGGAGAGGGCAGCCACAATGGCCTCTTCCTTTCCCCTCACTCGCCTCTGCTGGGATCCCACACTGACACATCTTGTACTTCCCGTTTCCAGGGAAATTCCTCACCCGCTGGACCACACCCGCTCTTGAGGACCTCGCGAGCTCTCTGGGCAGAGCGGAAGCCAGACAGAGACCGGACTCCAAGGCGACAATCCCAGCTCTGTGTGTGCCAGGAGCCCCCAGGGGCAGGGGCCCACGCTGCAGGAGGTTAGCTGCCCCCCAACACTCAGGAGCCAGGAGTGGGCTGCAGGGACAGAGCGCTTCTCAAACGAGGAGGAGCCCCCGTGGAGTACGTGACTCCTGCCCCTCTGGCTGCACGCTCCAGTTACCAGGACAGAGACCCCTCCCCACGCGTCCCCAGCTTTCCCCTGCTTCCTGCTCTGGCTGCTGGGAGGCCCTGTCACCACACATGCGCGAGCACGCACTCCGACACACGCGCCCCTCCCAGGCACCCCTGAGAGGACCAGCTGCAGCTGGGGGGTGCACTGAGTGCTGCCAGGTCCTCAGATCCACAGCCTCCCCCCATCCTCGCCCCCTACTGCTCAGCTGCTTGGAGGTTTAAAGCAAAACATGACTGTCTTTCCTGCTGCTCAGTGGCAGCGGCGCTGCCTGAGGGTTATTTTTAGCAGGGATGCGAGGAAGGCACATTTCTCCTTGACTTTCACCAGGGACAACCCTCACCCCCCAGCCAAGACTCGCCTGGGGAGGCAGGTTCGGAAACCCCACTCCCAGGAAGGGGAAACTGGTGGGTTTTCTGTTCTTTCAATTCATCAGGCCTTGAAGTCAAGCTAGGGGCTGCTCTGATGGGAAATTCTAGGTTCCAAAGCCCATGGTTTCCCCCGCCATCCCTGGTCTCTGTGTCGCTACAAATTTGAGGAGCAAGAGGTACGTTGTGTCTAGAGGCAGGTCGCCCAGGCTGCGGGTGTTGGGGTCCTGGGGCAGCCGCGTGGTTACAGCCAGGCACTATAGATTGCATGCAGTGCCCGGCTTTGTGGGGGAGCGGTTCTCACAGATGCTGGCTTGTTAATTCATTAAACTGCCTGTCTGGCCTATACATTTTTTTCTGTATATGTGTTTTTCAGAAGCTAGATTTTTTTTTTTTTTTAACTTTTGAGACAAGGTCTCCTTAAATGGCTCAGGGCCTCATTAAGTTGCTGAGGCTGGCCTTGAACTTTTGATCCTCCCATCTCAGCCTCCCAAACCATTGGGATTACAGGCATGGACCACCATGCCTGGCTAGATGCTAGAAGTTTTTATTGTACATTCTATATATAGTCAGATCCACAAATATTAATTGTACAGAATGAAGAATTTTGACCAATGTATAGATTATAGATCCCAGTAACCATCACCTAGAGCAAGATTTCAGATATTTCCACCAGCCCTAAATTCCCTTGGGCTCCCTCACAGTCAGTCCCCACCCCAGAGGCAACCATGGTACTGGTTTCTATCACCGTAGGTTAGTTTCCTGAGCATGCATGTGAGCTTTACAAATTTAAAAGAAATACATCTCCTACTGTAGAAGGAGGAAGTAGACCAAAAATTCTTACTGTACAAAGAAGGTTACTTGAACTAAAAACAAAACAAAACAAAAACCTAAGGAATCATTGGCCAGAGAAACAGGAGGTTTTGGAGCCAACCCAATGCCTTAGCATTGGGACAGAGGGCTTGGGACACTTCTTGGAGCAGAGGCTGTGAGTGGTGGGGGGTGGGGAAGAGGACCAGCCAGGCTCCTCTGTATTCTGATAAAAGGTTCCTCCCCTGCCCAGCAACTGCCTGAGTTTTGAGCAAGGCCAAGGCCAGGAGGAAGGACGCTCTCAAGGGCATCTGCCCAGAGACAGGGAGAAGTTAGGGCCCCTGGGCAGTTAAGTTATTTGTCTTTCCTGCCTTCCCTTTCAAGGTCTGTCTGATTTTGTGCCTCCTTCACACTTTGTCCTGCCTGGGGAGGGGAGAGGCTGAGGCTCTCAAAGGGACTTAGAAGGAGAGAGACAGAGTTCTGCCTGCCTGCCTTTTTTCCAAAACACCGATTTGAGCGCCTACATTGTGCGGCAGCTCCTGCCAGCTGCTGGGGATCGGAGAATGACAGACATGTTTTAGCTCGCTAAGGAGTCAGAATTGGCTCCAGGTGAGGCAAGGCCTCTACCTCCTTCATGGTGGAGATGATGGCCCAAACAGGTGACTTAATTCAGGAACAACAATCTGTTGGAACAGGGAGGCAAAGAATGGTGCCCCCTGATTCAACCCTAGCCAGGAATAAGAAAGCAAAGGAAATAAAACCTATGTCCTTGTCTGGGCTTTCTCCCTTGCAGATTTTCTGGGGCAGTGGAAAGAGCACTGACCCGAAGTCAGAAGACCTCATTTCTGCTTCTAGGTCTTAGAAGCACTTCCTCTTTCTGGGCCCCAGTCTTTTCCAGGGAACATGAAGAAGGCCGTCTCCAGAGGCCTTCAAAGGGTGCCTCCAACTCTGCCTTACCTGAGTGTACCCTGCATTTTTCTGCCTCAGTGCCTTTGCTCAGGTCATTTCTGCCACTGAAAGCCCCTTCCCTCCTGCTTCCTTCTTCTGACAGTCTCTTCATCACGTATGACCTAGTTAAGGTGCTGCTCCTGGAGACCCCCAGTCTTTAGGGATCTGTGAGTGTGTCATCCAGATCCCCACTCCCAGAACAGACCCTCCTCACAGTGAAAGTTAAGTGCATATATCTACCTTGAATTTTTAGGCATTGGTTCTCAACTTTTTAAAATTTCAATTCACTTAGAGAAGTTAAGACTCCTCAATTTATAGGCCTCATGTTTTCTTACTTTGTGTTGGAAAAAAAGTACTTGGTAATCAAAATTGGAGAGAACTAGAAGAGAAATTTTTATTATTTTATGTTTGAGTATATACACATGTATATATGCAGAGGAGTACTACCTGTCTGATCTTCTTGCTGTGTGCCCTGTTTTGGTCACTAATACCAGGTGGCATGGTGGCTTGGGGCAGATACCTGGGGGCCACTGCAGATTCTCCCCTCTCCTATACCATCCCACCAGACCTCATGTCCCATGGGGTTTTCTTGTCCCATCTAGACCCTCCTCAGGCCTCATTATCACTGCCTTCCTGTGGGTCAGAACCTCCCTCCCAGGGCTTCTAATGGCAGAGGGAGGGCAGGAAATCCCCCAGGCTTATCCCATGCTCCTGCATCCTCCACGCTGCTGCCAGAATGGTCGGCCTCAAAAACACAGCTCATCTGCAACTTAGGATCCTTCACTGGCTCAAATGGAGGCCTGAATTCCTGGCATGGCACAGCCAGCCATATGCAGAACAAGCAACTCTCAGCCTGTCCACGACTCATGTTAGAGCCTTACTCAGTACCCCTCCCCAGCTCACCATGCTGGTGTTCACCTCCAAGCCTTGTGTGTGCTATTCCCAGGCTGCCTTCCCTCCGTGACCTAGCAAGGACCTTCTCATCTCTCCAGATTGAAGAGGTCCTTCTTGGCCTCTGTGAGAGCACATTTTGTAATAATGCTCACCATCATTATTTAAAAGCCAGTGTTTCTACAGGCACACACCAGACACCATTCTGCTGTTGTGATGCTGTGTGTGTGTGTGTGTGTATACATATAGATCAACTTATTTAATCCTCATAACAACCTTGATAGGTACTATCATTACTATCTCCATCTTATAGATGGGAAAACTGATACACAGAGAGTTTAAGTGACTACCTGGAGGGACATGCCAAGTAAGTGATAAAGTGGGATCTTTCCACAGCCAGTTCTGCAGAAGGATCTATGCAGTTAAATCCAGCACCGTGCTGTGCCTCTTCATTCACTGTTAGGGGTAGTTTGCCAACTTGAATAGCTTTGAGCAACCAACATCCACTGACAGGTGATGAAAGAACAAATTCATTAACATTTAATGGGGGCTGGGGTTGTAGCTCAGTGGTAGAGCACTTGCCTAGCATATGTGAGGCACTGAGTTCAATCCTCAGCACATAAAAATAAATTAATTAAATAAATCTATTTTTTAAAAATTTAATCAGATGAAGAAATAAGTCTCATCTTCATTTATGTAAGATGTCTGTCATACCAAAGCCATTTTATTTTTTAATAAACATAGAATATTTTAAACCTGTAATCCCAGTGATTTGGGGGCCTGAGGCAGGCAAGTTTGAGGTCAGCCTACACAATTTATCCAGACTCTGTCTCAAAAAATAAAAAAGGGCTGGGGATGTAGCTCAGTGGTAGAGGGCATCTGAGTTTAATTCCCAGTACCCACTCCAACAAGACTATTTAGGGAAAACAAGACCTGAGAGTAAAATCCCATACATCTTCTGTCTTTTAAAATGGAATTCCTAGAATCTCCAAGCCTATGTTTTTTCTAGTTAGTCAAGAGAGTCGTCCCTTTGGGCTGGGGATGTGGCTCAAGTGGTAGCGCGCTCGCCTGGCATACGTGCGGCCCAGGTTCGATCCTCAGCACCACATACAAACAAAGATGTTGTGTCTGCCGTGAACTAAAAAATAAATATTAAAAAAAAAAAGAGAGTCGTCCCCATGACCCCATAATGACTTGCTTACCCTGGGGCAGATGTCAGCTATGTACTGAGCATAGCTGTGGATCCACCCCCAGGGAGACAGACCCACTGAGAAGTGACCTAATGCAAGATGAATTGTGACAGATGTCAAAAGAGCATCACATCTCAATTCCTGAGCTGGGGACAGAGTCATTCCAACCAGGGATGCCTGTGAGGGCTGTCTGGAGGGGGTGAACTGAATCTTAAAAGATCTGAATCACCGAAGGGAAGTTTTCAGGCAAGTTCAGAAAGTGTTTGCACCCCTAAATATTTGGTAGTAGGAAGGGCAGTGCGGGAAGGCAGAAGACAGAGGGATGATGTGAGGGCCTGTGAGGCCGGGGGACAGGGAATAGTCACACAGTGAAGCATCAGGGACTAAAATCTCCTCAACTTCCATCCTGGGTAGCCACAGAGCTTTGGACAGTGGCTGACATTTCACCTTCTCTGCTACCTTTTTTGTAAACTGAGTACTTGAGCCTGGGAGAGCTTGGGTTGATTCGTCAACCCAAGAGGCTGGGCTCCTTACCCCACCTGCCAACCTGCGCTCCCTTCTGCCAGCTGGTGTCGCTTGAAGGATGTGTCTCAGCTCTGGTGCTTGCTAGCTAGGTATGTCATTTAACCTCTCTGGGCCTCCATTTCCCACATAAGTTCGTTGCTGAAGATTAAATTCATTAAAGCAGTTAAAGCATCTAGAACATGGTCTAACTTCCATTTAGACCTGGGAGATATGAGCAAACCCTGTCACTGTCCCCAAAGGTCTTCAAACCAAGGCAAAATTTCATGGGACTCTCCTACTTCTAGGCCACAGGATTATATTGTTGCCACTGTCCCTCTCTTAGTCTCAGAGTCCCTCAACAAGTGACCTGAGTAGTAACCTTCTTGCTCACCAAATTCCCTGAGTCAGTCACCCTCTCCATAGGCCCCTCTGTACTGATAATGGTTTCCTGGGGTAAGATCTTTTGCACTGTGCCCACTGGGCCTGGACAGGAAAGCCAAGCTACATGGAAGTCTGACCAAATAGTGTTGGGGAGAGCACGGGACACACAGCCAGTGCAGTGTGAAGACAACCAGGTTGTTGACATCAGAACTGAGTCCCAGAAGACTGGCACTGGTGCCTCTGCAGCTCCCTGGGGGCAGCTTACACCCCTGCATGTTGCCAAGCTTGGGAAATACCTGTTGGTTGCAATTCAGCATCTGGCCATGCAATGGCAAGCTTCAAGATGGCTACAAACTAGACTGGGGTAGAATAGATAGGGCCTCCTGCAGTAAAGGGGCAGGTGGAGGGGGCGGTGGCTTATAAAACACCCGGGAGCTGGGTGTGGTGGTGTGAACTTACAGTCCCAGCTACTTAGGCTGGGGGAAGGAGGATGGCCTGGTCACCTGAGTTTGGGGCCAGTCTTGGCAATAGAGTAAGACCCCATTTCAAAAAAACACAGAGCAGAGCCTGGCCCAATGAGCTGCTCCTAGGAAACAGTGAGGATTGGGATGATGCCCTTTCAAC